GAGAACTATTTGTGTTAGGCCACCTTGCACAAACGTTTCCACACAAAAAATTGTGTGTGATATACGTACGAACGGAAATGATTTTCTGGGATTCATCGTGTGGGATGTCCATACGAATGGAAACAATTGGGTTTCCATGCCCCGCCAGATCGCACACGAGCTCATTTTGTGTGCCAGGAGGGCCTATCCCCGACGTTTTCTGAGTCGTGTGGGAAGGACCCCCTATCGCCTTCACTCACTAGGCGACGGTTCCAAATGCCGTATTGGAAAGGGGTTAAAAATCGTTTGTATAGCACATCGTTGTACCAATGATAGGCATCACGTCCAAGATTAGTAGACCGACTCCTGCCTGCATCTACTACTATTACTCCACACGTCGACCGCTATCCAACATGCATCTAGTGTATTAAGTTCATGGAGAAACAGAGTAATGGAATAAGAACAATTACATGATGTAGACAAGATCTATTCATGTAGGAATAGACCCCATCTTTTTATCCTTAATGTCAACGATACATGTGTGTCATGTCTACTTCTGTCACCGAGAATAAGCACTGCAGGATCGAACCCATCACAAAGCACCTCTTCCCGTTGCAAGAAAAATCAATCTAGTTGGCCAAACCAAACCAAAGTTTCGGAGAAGAAATATGAGGCTATAAAGATCATACATATATATAAGAGTTCAAAGAAGACTCAAATAATATTCATTGATAGATCTGATCATAAACTCACAATTCACTGGATCCCAACAAACACACCGCAAAAAGTCATTACATCAAATACATCTCCAAGAACATCGAGGAGAACATTGTATTGAGAATCAAAAAGAGAGAAGAAGCCATCTAGCTACTGCCTACGGACCCGTAGGTCTGTGGTAAACTACTCACGCATCATCGGAGGAGCACCAATGAGGATGATGAAGCCCTCCATGATCGTTTCCCCTCCGGCAAGGTGCCGGAATAAGGCTCTAGATTGGATCTCGTGGTTCTAGAACTTGCGGCGGCTGAAATTGTGTTTCGTCAACTCCTCTATGGTTTTTGGAATATTGGGTATTTATAGAGCTGAGAGGCGGTGGCGAAGCTTCCCGTGGGCCCCACAAGGCATCAAGGCGCGCCCTGGTGTCTTGTGGGCCCCATGTGCCTCCTCTGGTGCACCTCTTGTGCTCCCTGGGTCTCTTCTGGGCATAAAAAATCTCCAACAAGTTTCCCTGCATTTGGACTTCGTTTGATATGGATATTTTTTGAAGTAAAAAACAAGCAAAAAACAACAAACTGGCACATGGCACTATGTCAATAGGTTAGTCCCAACAAAAGATATAAAGTTGCTATAAAATGAATATAAAACATCCAAGAATGATAATATAACATCATGGAACAATCAAAAGTTATAGATACGTTTGAGACGTATCAGGACACCCCCTTTCCCACTTGGGAGGCCGAATTGGAGTGGAGGAAGACTCATCCTCCCAGAAAAAACAAGGAGGGGGTCCTTCCCTCCTTGTGTGGCCCCCTCCTCTCCCCTCCAACCTATATATACTAGAGGACTTTGGCACTTTTGAACACACACGTTTTTGAAGCCTCCTCTAGTTCTCTAGTTCTAGTTCTAGTTGGTCCTAGTCGATCAATTAGATCTAGACCTAGATCCTCTAATCCTCATAATTAGAAGCTCAATGTGGTTCTAATCTCCTTCCTCTAATTTTTAGCGATGATTAGCTCTGGACGGCAAAGCACAGCCGGATCGTGAAGACCGTATGCTTGCAACTCGTAGAGGGGCCGTGCTTTCAGTCGAGGAATTGTTCCTGGGTGGTTCGCGAGATCGTTCATCTACGTTTCGAGGGACTCCAACTGCGATGTACACCAACTCGTCTTTTTCTGCTGCAACTTGGAGTCAGCAACGATCGAATCCAAACCGTTAAGGCATCTTCATATTGTTCCTGGGTGTTCACAGGGTGTTTTTTTATTTTCTACTACGTTTTGCAACAACTATGACCTTGAGGTATATGCTTGTTCTCTTGTCACACATATCGGTATCACTACCTCACATTTGCATGCTTCGCCTCGTAGAGTGATATTGCTTCTTAGCCATGATTATGATGCCTTCCATTGTGCTCGATTCACATGCTTACATGCCATGCCACAATCCTTTGTCACACCATATGCTATGCATGATGATGACACTTGTTCGGTGAATCATCACTTGAATGCTTGGTTTTGCACTAACGCTAACCACATTCGTTTTTTCCAAGTATCTGTTATCCTTGCTTCTTTGAAGGAAACACAAGATGGTGCAACATTGGAGAGTGCCCATTTTGAGCTCCAAGATGATGAATGTTTGGTGATCGTCCACTTCTACACGGCGACGGCCTCTCTTTCCCATGGTGATTTGGTTTTCTATCCGAGTCTTTCCCAAGGGGGAGGGGATGATGCAAAGCATCCTACGGACATCACCATGTCAAAATTCCATTTGGCAAGTGACATGTGTGACATCCACTCAACATACATAAAGGTGAATCATCTCCTTTACACGTGCTATGATGAGGACATCAATACCATTGTTACACCCACAGCCCCTGCTGCTATACACACTGGACCGATTACTAGAGCTCGCGCACGCCAATTGAATTATCAGGTACTTCCGTTTCTTGGTAATGATTCTAATGTTCATGAGAATATGATGCTGCCTAAATTGGATACATTTGTTTTGCTTACAAATGAAGGGCCTAGCTTGGACAAGAAAGATGAACCTTGGAGCAAGTTCAAGCATGGAGATGATGGCATGCCCAAGGGGAACAAGAACGGAGTTACAAGTGATGATTCTAGGACTCTGAAGCCACCATAATGAGTGCATGAAGCATGGGACGAAATATACAATATGCCACTTCATAAATTTCGTCCAGAGGCTATTTTAGGTGCTGCGTCACCTTATTATTGGGCCAGGCCCATGTATTTTCAAAGTACTTAAGTATAGGCTGTTTTTAGAGTCCGTATGTGTGGGGAAACAACAGTTAGGGTTGGTTTCGGACCCCTCCACCAAGGGCCACGAAATTCCCCCTCTCTCCTCCATATATACAGCCCTTACGGCATTGTTTAGGCTTTGTGTTTTGTTTAGATTAAAAGTTCGCCATAGCTGCAACTTCGCGTACTTCGTTTGTGTCCAACGACCAGACCAAGACGTCACAGAACCCCACCTTGATCAATAAAGCTTTCATCTTATATTCGCAATATCCAGATTGCAATCTTAGTTTCTTGCTTGTTCTTCGTTTGCTCGCAGGAAACAGACCCTCGTGGTCAGGTTGATCGTGCTCCGGCGTGGTCAATAACCCTCGGAAGTTGGTTTAGCGATTGCTAAGGCGCGACGTCTCGCACGTTCGTAGTCGGATCGTCAAGGTCGACTCCCACAGAAAATGATAGCCACCATCTCATCGAAACATCGGGACACCTTTGCCTCTATCATGCTAAGCATTGAGGATGGTATACTACTTGACACTTCCTTCGTGTGCATGCACATGTATTATCGGAGCCTCACGGATGATGAGGAGGAGTGCAAGCGCCAAGGAATGCACACGCCATCCGCGAGGGAAGCGTGGAAGCAAAGACGAAAGAAGACAAAGTTGTTGAACCTACAACGCCCGGACATCCGGGCCAAGGCCGGACATCCGACGCCTGTGCAGCCGAGAAGGAGCTGCACCAATGGATGACCGAAGCGCATCAGCGGCCGGACATCCGGTGCTACACGGTCGGGCCGGACATTCGGGCCCCTGCCGGAAATCTGGCAAGAGGTCACCCGAAGATTGACCATTGCTTGGCCGGACATCCCACACCACGAGAGGCAGGACATCTGATGCCTTCGTGTGCGCAGTGTTGGGCCAGAGGCCCATGTATCTCCCTCTCACTTACTCCTTCGTGGACTAGCCTATAAATGGACCCCCTCCTCACTTCTACGGTTAGCTAAGATTAGAACTACACTTGAGCTTAGCTTATGTATCTCCCCTTGTGGGACTCCTCTTG